TGTCAGGTCGATCTATGTGACGATAGATCGTCAGGTCGATCTATTTGACGATAGATTGTCAGGTCGATCTATGTGACGATAGATCGTCAGGTCGATCTATTTGACGATAGATTGTCAGTCAGAAATTCTATGACAATTTATGAAGATACAAATATGAATTATATTTGGGTACAATTCACTATAAAGATTATTGTTGCCCCAAAACAACAATCTCGATCGTCGGAGGTTTTAATACGATTACAGACCATCACTTTTTTATCCATGTTAGATGTTCACTGTCATTCTCGAGCTATTGTTTCGATTAGACGGTAATAATTTTGCCGACGTATCATTGTTTTCGGCCGAGACTTTGCGTGTGATTGCGAACGTTGTATTGTTTGTGTGTGGTCATGAACGTTCTATTGTTTGTGTGTTTGCAGGCGATACTGGAGCGGGAGTTTAATAACCTGCTTGCTCTCGGTACTGATCGTCGACTGGACGAGGTTGGTATGTGTCCTTCCGCTTTCGCCTTATGTTTCGTTTACTCGACGGTTTGTTTGGTTGCTCTCGCGCATCATCGCTGCGTGTACGTACGCGCGCGCTCACCGATACTACAGCAGCGCCATCTGTTTTGCGTAACATTGTTAACGCGATGACAACGTCGCTTTTTCCTTTACTTTCGACGGTTTCGTTGTTGCAAGCGCACTTGTTTGATAGTGCCGTTGTCTCGATTACGCGCTAATTTAACTGCATGAGCCGATTGCGGATATATTTTTACGTAGAAATCGCGTGTTTTTGCTTCCGGTGATTTGCTTTCGAGTTGAGTTGCGAGTTAATGTTCAGATTTTCCTGGAATCGGTTAGAGAAAAAGAAAAAGTAAAAAAAAAAAGAAAAAAAGAGAAAAGACGTTTAGAGTTAAAGAAAGCGTGGCGCGATAATCCTGTACGCGTCGTCTGGAGTCTGCCGCTAGGTGGCGTCTGCAGCCGGTGACCGTGCGATGTGTGTTTGCGCCCGCAGGGTGACGATGGGAAGGTTCAGCGGGTGCCGTCATGGAGGAAGACGTTCCGTCAGAGCGAGCAGACGCATGGGGACGACGAGCGTGACGACGCGATTGGTCCGGAGTTAGCCTGTGATGCGAGCGGCCGGAACCACGCCCCCCTCGCGCCCAATTCGCCGAGACCGAGCAGATTGGCAGATGGTCCGACCAATTAGGAATACGAATTAGGAAATTTCGTCTTTCATCGTCTGTCTGATGCAGGACGCCGGTTGGCAAGCAACGACGTGGGACGCCGCGCATGTTAGTCTGTCGTGGGCACCATTACTACAGTAGCTGAAAAACGGGGAGAGAGGCGGAGAGAAGACAGAGCAAGAGAGAGAGAGAGAGAACGAGAGGTCAAGAAAGATAAGGAGAGAGAGAAAGAGAGAGAGAGAGAGAGAGAGAAAGTGACAGAGCAAGAGTGAGAGAGAGAGAGAGAGAGAGAGAGAGAGAGAGAGAGAGAGAGAGAGAAGAGAGAGAGAGAGAGAGAGAGAAGAGAGAGAGAGAGAGAGAGAGAGAGAGAGAGAGAGAGAGAGAGAGAGTAGAGAAGAGAAGAGAGAGAGAAGAGAGAGAGAAGAGATGGAGACATAATGAAAAGTGGATAAAGGGGTGTAAAATAAAGAAAAGATGGGAAGAGAGAGAGAGAGAGTAAAGACAGAGGAGAAATAGAAACAGGGGAGAAAGGGTGTAAAAAAAAGAAAAGATGGAGACCGAGAGAGAGAGAGAGGAGAGAGATGATGGATAGAGAGAAAAGAGAATGAGAAAGCCAAGGAGAGACAGAGCGAGCGCTCGTCACACAGCCGCTAGTTCGCGAGCAAACAGCGCGTAAACAAACACGGTGTGCTAATAGCCGCAAAGACGCGGGTCGGTCTCGCCACGCATATAAACCGCGCCCGCGTCACATCCGGTTCTCCGGGGACGGCACACAAGTTGTCGCAAGCGGCGGCCGCTGTCGCGGGCACACTCGCGCTAAGATATAACGCTGGCTTTGTGAGCTAGTAATACGTGCCAATGAGATATATGCTTGTGAATGGCCCGTAGTCCTCTGCTGCTCCCCCCGGGATGTCTCCCGCTGCGCGCGTGTGGTGCGCTGACAGGTGCCCCTACAGCGCGAGCCGCAGCACCGGCTCTTCCGGGTCACGGATCCCTCTCGCACCGCGCGCGGCAGGTGCGCACGGCCTCATGCACACTAAACTGAACTGTCCGTCGTTCGTCTACAGTCGCTGCACATGAATGACCAGCGGCCGAGACATCGTGGTGTGTGGTTGTGATGGTGTGGTGTGTGTTGTTGTGTGGTGTGGGTGGTTGTGGTGTGTGTGTTGGTGGTGCGTCGCGCGTGTGGTGTCTGGTGTCGGTCTGTGTGTTTGTGTGTGGTTTGCTGTGTGTTGGTGTTGGTGTGCGTGGCCGTTGCGTTGCGTGTGCGGGTGGTGTGCGATGTGCAGTGCGCAGTGTGTGTGGCCTCGTGCGTGTGCGGTTGTGTGTGTCTATAAATATATTAATATATAATAGAAATATATAATTGTTGTGTGTGTGGTGTGTGCTGGTGTGTGTGTGTGTGTGCTGCGTGTGTGTGTGTGTGTGTGTGTGTGTTGTGTGTGTGGTGTCGTGTTTGGTGCTTGTGTGTGTGTTGTGTTCGTGTGTTGTGTGTGTGGTGGTTCGTGTTTGTGTGCTTGCGTAGCGCGTGTGTTTATGTGCGTGTCGCGTGTGCGTGTGTGCTGTCGTGTTGCGTGTCTCGTGTGTTGGTCTATAAATATATATAATTAATATATATATATATATATATATAAGGTATATACAGTAATATATATAGTGTTGTGTGTGTGTGGTGTGTGTGTGTGTGTCGTTGTGTGTGGGGGTGTGTTGGAGAGATAGAGAGAGAGAGTGTGGTTTGTGGCGCGCGCGGGGTGTGGCGTGGTTGTGCACTGTGTGTGTGGTATTTGTGTTGTGTGTTGTGTGTGTGATGTGTTGTGTGTGAGTGTGTGTTGGCGTGTGTGGTGCGCGCGCGTGTGGTTGTTGTGTGTCTGTGTGGGTGTGGTGGGCGTGTGCGTGTGTGTTTGGCGTGGTGCGTGCGTCCGCGTGGTGCGTGTGCTGTGACTGTGGTTGCTGCCGCTGTGTGCGTGTGCGTGTGTTGCGTTGTGCGTGTGCTTGTGGGTGTCTACTAAATATATTTATAATAATAGTATATATAAGCATATGTGTGTGTTTGGGTTGTGTGTTGTGAGTGTGT